GCCCAGGCTGAAACATTCCCTGGTTATACCCTCTCAGAACTTGGCTGATATGCTGCCAGGAGTACAAACCACATGGAGAGGTCAAGTGTACTCGCACCAAACAACTGCCTCAGCTGAGCTCTCAGATGACAGCCAGTATTACGGCTAGCTATGAATGAGCCCTCTTGGACACATAGCTCAGCCGAGCTTTCAGACTCCAACCTCAGCTGACAGCTGACTGCAACCATATGAGACCAAAAGCAAGAAGCACCCAGCTAACCCAAATGTCCATCAACAGAGAAATAGATAAACAAAATGTGGTCTATGCATATAACAAACAATTCAGCTTTACAAGGACTAAGATAGATTGTGATAAATAGAACATAGACAAGACCTGAAGATACTACACTAAGTGAAATACACCAGACACAAAAAGACTAATATCATATAATTCTACTTACATGAGACCCATGATACGCAAATTCAGAGATAGAAAAGTTGAATAGAGAAATGGGACAGGGATGTGTGGAAGAATGGAGAGTAGTTGTTTAATGGGTACAGAGGTTCTGTCTAGAGTGACAAAAAAGTTCTGGAGATGGACAGTGGTGGTCATAGCACACAACATGTCACTGTACTTAATGCTACTGAATTGTACACTTTAAAAAGTGGTTACAAAGGTAAAGAAATAAATCATACACACACACACACTCCATTGGCACAAATATACATAAATACCCCAGTAACCATTTTTTGAAGTTTCATGTTTGTTTATATTTAAAACTGATCCTACTAGCAATATTTACTAAACTGGTATCAATTACCCCTCAGAAAAGACAGTTAAGTAATACTCGATTACAAACTATACACAGTAGTTTCATTTTAAGATAATCTGTACAGGTACATAGGTATGTAAAAGTACCTGGAGGAAGGAAGTATATATACCAAGCTGCTAAGAGTGCTTTTTGAAGGAAGGGTGGATTATGGGTAAATGTAATTCTTTTATTTAAAACTTAAAAATCTGGGACACCTGGGTGGCTCAGTGTTGAGTGTCTGCCTCTAGCTCAGGGCGTAATCCCAGATTTCTGGGATCGAGTCCCACGTTGGGCTCCCTGCAACAAGCCTGTTTCTCCCTCTGCCTATGTCTCTGCCTATCTGTATCCCTCATGAATAAATAAATAAAAATCTTTAAAAAAAAACCACTTTAAAATCTCCCACCAAATCCATGGTGGGGGGGAAAAAAACACAAATCCATGGTGGGTATTCTAAAGGATATTTATACCAAAAAAAATTTTTTTTTAAAGATTTTATTTACTCATGAGAGACACACAGAGAAAGGCAGAGACACAGGAGGAGGGAGAAGCAGGCTCCAAGCTGGGAGCCCGACATGGGACTCGATCCCGGGACTCCAGGATCACGCCCTGGGCCAAAGGCAGGCACTAAACCGCCGAGCCACCCAGGGATCCCCTATACCAAGAAATTAACATGGATTGAAACTTTGTACAGCTGGGATTCTAGAAAGAAAATGGAAAACCAAAAACCAGAAGAACTGCCTCACTAAGCCCAGTCAACCCACAGAGCTCTGGGAAATAATTACCCACTGCTGGGGAGCAGCAAAGTTTTGGAATGGTTTATTTGCAGCAACCGACAATGGAACAGTCCTCTGTTCCCCTCCTCATTCACTCCACATCCGCCACACTGGCCTTCTGTCTGCCCCTCCACCTGCAAGCATGCCTGTTCCTGCCTCAGAGCCTCTGTGTTCTACGTCCTTGCCATGAAGACTACCTTTCCCTCCAGCTTTTTCCATACATGGCTCCTTCTCTTCAGGTCTCTCGTGGACTGGATGTTGATGTCCTGCCCTCTGCCCCCACCCCTTTCATAGCTGAGTCCCAATCCCTAATGTGATATTAGGAGGTAAGGCATTGGGGAGGCACTAAGTTTAGTTGAAATCATCAGGGCAGAGCCCCCATGTTGAGATTAGTGCCTCATAAGTGAGCCTGCTCTCTCTTCCAACATGTGAGGACACAGCAAAATATGCTGCAAGCAAAGATCACCACAACCCAACCATGCTGGCACCCTGATCTCGGACTTCCCAGCCTCCAGAGCCATGAGAAATAAACACTATAGTTTTAGCGTCACCCCCCTCACTCCGGCTCTGTGCTATTTTCTTACAGCAGCCCGAGCTGACTGAGACATGGTTTCAGCCCTCCAATCACACATCACCGGGACACCTGGGTGGCTCAGGGGTTGGGCGTCTACCTTCGGCCCAGGGAGTCCCCATATTGAGTCCCATGTCGGGCTCCCTGCATGGAGCCTGCTTCTCCCTCTGCCTGTGTCTCTGCCTCTCTCTCTGTGCCGCCCATAAATAAATAAATAAAATCTTAAAAAAAGTCACACATCACCTGTTTATGTCCTTCATAGCACTGTTTCTTCTAGAATTATCTGATATAAAAACTTATTCACGGTATCTCTCCCATTAGACTCAGCTCCATAAAGGTTAGGGACCTTACTGGCCTTACTCTTGCCTGTATTCCCAGGGTCCAGACCAGTACTTGACACCCCAGGAGGTACTTCTTAAATGTGTAGAAGGAAGGAGTGAAGGAAGGCAGCAGTCCAGGTGGCTCTAACTCTGAAACTGTCTCCAGGATCTCATCTTCCCTAATCATCTTCCTTTCCCCAAAATTTGGCTGTAAGGTACAAAGGTTCCCAAGCCCTCATGCAACTCCTACAACACAATGAACTCAAACAGGACAGTGCGGGCACTGAACAAGTGTTTGAGCGACATTTCCTAACTGGCGCTTCCATGCAGCACTGCACCTTCTCTTCTAACTAGGATTGTGTGATATTTTTGGCTGTCTGGAATTTGCTTTTAGAACTGCTTTTAGAGCTGGTTTCATTTTTGTTTTTCCTGGCATTTTGTCAATAGGAGAAAAATCTCCATCCTTTGAGAACAGATCTACCTTCAGGCAAAAAGCTCCAGGTCATTCAGAACTGAACAAGGAGAACCAAGAGGGTGATCAAATGGGAATGCTCTGAGATCAACCACAAGGGAGGGGAATAGAACCTGCCATGACTAAGTATCCTCAGTAGCTCCTGAATGAGCTTAGAAGTCCCAAGTGGAGGATCCCTGGGTGGCGCAGTGGTTTGGCGCCTGCCTTTGGCCCAGGGCACGATCCTGGAGACCCAGGATCGAATCCCACATCGGGCTCCTGGTGCATGGAGCCTGCTTCTCCCTCTGCCTATGTCTCTGCGCCTCTCTCTCTCTCTCTCTGTGACTATCATAAATAAATAAAAATCAAAAAAAAAAAAAAAGCTAGACTGTTTTAAAAAAAAAAAAAAAAAAAAAAAAAGAAGTCCCAAGTGGAAATTGGCAGCTGTTACGGGCACAGCTATTCTCAACGGTGATTAAGAATGGGTGCTCCAGGGATCCCTGGGTGGCGCAGCGGTTTAGCGCCTGCCTTTGGCCCAGGGCGCGATCCTGGAGACCTGGGATCGAATCCCACGTCAGGCTCCCGGTGCATGGAGCCTGCTTCTCCCTCTGCCTGTGTCTCTGCCTCTCTCTCTCTCACTGTGTGCCTATCATAAATAAATAAAAATTAAAAAAAAAAAAAATTTAAAAAAAAAAAAAAAAAAAAAAAAAGAATGGGTGCTCTGGAATCAGACTGCCTAGGTTCAAATCCCTCCTTTGCCACTTCAAGCTGTGTGACCTTGGCAAGTGACTTCACTCCTCTCTGCTTCAATTTCCCTATGTGTAAACACAGAAGACAGTAACTTCTGTTGCACAGATTTGTGGAAAGATCAAATGAGTTATCACCTTAGAAGACTTAGGCGGTGAAATGAAAACTTAGAACAGTGTTTGGTACACAGAAGGCACTAAATAAATGGTAGCCTTATTACCTATTAGAGTTACATTTGGACTGTAGCTGCCCTCTCAACAGCTGGGTTACCCTTGGCAAGTTATCTTACCTCCTTGAATGGTTTCCTTATCGGATGGAAATCAATCATAATGCCCACTACATGAAGCTTCTCAAAGTTTTGTATGAAATAAAGCATATGAATGTGAATAGTATTAACAGCTAACATTGGCTGGCCCCCTACTATGAGCCATGTGCTCTATGCCCTAGGAGGCAGATACCACAGGGCTTCTTCCATTAAACCACAAGGAGATTCAGGCCAGACAGCTGGAGAGGCTGCTCCGAGTCACCCGAGAAAGAGGCAGGGCTGAGTCTGAGGCCCAGGTCTGTCTGACCCTGAGCGTAGATTCCTTTCTCTACATCAGGTTATCCTTGGTCTCCAGGATGCCAAGTGCGGTGACCATGTACAAATTCATATGTTCCTCACAGCCCCGAACCCGAGTCAAACTTTCAAGCCCACATTCCTTCTCGCCATGCTATAGCATCAAGGCAAGCGCGCTCTGTTTGTTAGCATCATTATAACTAGCCTGTGGCTCCCTGAAGGCTGTGGCTGGGTCTTCCTTATTTTTATATATCACCTCTGGCCTTTGAGTACTATGTCTCATACATGACAGACGCTCTATAAATATTTCACAGCTTGTGCCTGTGCCCTGCTAACCTATTTTTTTTAATAGGGCCTACTGGAGCACAATTAATAAAGCACAGCCAATTATTATCAGGATGACATCATTTCTTAGGCTGCACCTAAAGTTGCTTTTCTCTAGAAGCAGCTTCCAATTTTCACCCTGTGAAGAGGAAGGTAACAGGGGAGTGATTCTCACGCCTCGAGGAGGAAATTGAGACCCATGTGACTGCACAATATTCTTTTTATGACATCCTTTATCGGCTGATAAACTCTTGCTCAACCTTGTGGCAGGTCAATGTCCCACCGCGTCAGGCGCTGAGATGGGAAGAGATCACACAGGATCCCAAGTTCAACAGACAGAATGGCTGCACCTTTGGTCTCATACATCAGGGTGTGGTAGAGGGGGAGAGGGCCAGGATGGTGCTGCACGCTCAGGGGCCCCATGCACCTCCCCTAAACCCAGCAACACTGTCCCCTCCAAGTACCTCTGAATCCACTGGTCTTTGTAGGAGGCACTGAAGGAAATGCCTGAAAAAAGCTCGGACTTGTTGAAACTCACATGAAACTGATCCCAAAATGGGCCAAAGGGATTTCCTTCCTGCAGAAAGAGAGTGATCAAAGACTTACTGAGAAGGTGGAGTGACCTCTGGGGATGGGGCCTAGAAACTGTGGGTGGGGGACCCCTGGTTGACTAAACTTGGGTTGAAACACCTCAAAGAATGTCACTTTGTAAATCCTGGGCTGGGGACTGAGGAGTGCAGCTTGGCCTCCGTCTGGTTTCTAGCAGATGTTCACCACAGTGTATAAAGGAGTCTTTCTCACTGACATACCACATCCCACTGACCCTGCAGCACTGGTGGGGATAGAGGAAGGAAACAGACCTTGGATTTGGGCTTTGGATCTTGGACTGGAGCTTCCAGAGACTTTCAAGACAAGCTAACACAATGCCCTTATTTTGAAGATGGAAACCAGGGCCCAGATAGGGTAAGACACTTGCCCAAGGTCACACATCAAATGAAGGCAACGTTCAGACTATAAGCCCAGCCTCCTTTCTCAAATTTCATGGCTCCTCCAACCACCTTTCATTGACTTTAGCACTGAAAGACATACTGGGGATTGTTTTATTCCCAAAGTGCTAGAAAATTACAGATTTCTCCTGGTAAAATACGACAGCTTCTTATTTACCTGCCTCAGGCAGAAAAGTATATAAGTTAAGAAAATAGACAATAGAGTCAAATCACCTAGAGTTGAATCCTAGCTTATTTGCTATGTGACCTTGGGCAAAATATTGAACCTCTCTGTGTTGTACTCAGTATCCTCTCTATAGAACGTGGATATTAAGCGGCACCTGGGTGGCTCAGTTGGTTGGGCGTCCATCTTAGATTTGTCTCTTGATCCCAGAGTCCTGGAATCAAGGCCCATGTCAGGCTCCCTGCTCTGTGCAGTGAAGAGCAGAGCTCTGTGAAGAAGTCTGCTTCTCCCTCTCCCTCTGCCTCTCCACCCCCTCTCCTGCTCCAATTCTCTCTCTCAAATAAATAAATAAAATATTTTTTAAATGGGGATATTAATAGTACTTCCCTCATGGAACAATTTGGAAATTAAGTGGGTTAATATGTGTAAATCTCTTAGCATGGTACCTGGCATATAGTAAGTGCCATTGAAGTATTAGTTATTATTTGGGGCACCTGGGTGGTTCAGTTGGTTAGGTGTATGACTCTTTGATTTCAGCTCAGGTCATGATCTCAGGATTGTGAGATCAAGCTTCCTGTCATTAGGCAGTGGAGCCTCCTTAAGATTCCCTCTCTCCTACCTCACCCTCTGCCCCCCCCGCCCCCACTTCTACTCATCTGAAAAAAAAAAGTATAGTATTGTTATTGATGTAGCACTTTACAGATTATAAGCACTCTTGGACCTAGTCCTTTTGATATTTATGAGTGAGACAGAGCAGGGATTGGTGTCTTTATTTTGCAGGTAGAAATAAAGGCTCAGAGGAATCAAGGTCTTCTGCCCAAAGTGACACTGCTGACAAATGTCAGAAATGGGATTTAAAAAAAATAAATAAAAATAAATAAAAATAAATAAAAAAGAAATGGGATTTAAATCTCCATCTTTCTACTCTAAGCCCTTCTAGTGCCTCTTCCCACATATTGCTATCATAGTGTCTCAGGGGGTCTAGAGGATATGGAACAGGCAGAAAGGGTCCCCAGACCCACCTTCATGGGGCATGTCTTCTTATCAGGGCTTCGCTGGGCTGCCACTTCAAAGCAGTATGCCACTCGCCTCTCGGGGGCCAGTGAGTGGGTGCCAGCTTCTCCATGAAGTCCTCTAGGCTGATAACCCGATGGTAGGCCTGGAGGGGCTCCAGCTTGAAGTACTTCTGGTAGGACACATGGAGCTACAGGAAAAGGTACAAAAGGAGAGGCAGAGGTCCTTCTTCAGTATCCTAGTGGCTAATTTAAAGACATTCATCAAAACCATACACTCGAAGATGCAGACAGTTCAGACTATAAGCCAATGGAAAACTTTTGGAAAAAGATACCAAAACTAGAACAGAAAAAGGCTAGGAGAATTTATCTGCCAATTTCAATGAAGAAATAGTAACACCTTTTTTTTTTTTTTAGTAACATCTTTTGTGTTCAAAAAAAATGCTTGCTGATCTACATGAAAAAAAAAAAACGATGTAAGGGAAAAATGTGAGCAAAGGATAGAAGCAAACAACACACAGCAAAGAAAATTCACATAGCCAATACACTCAAAAGATGTACAAACTAATAATTAGAAAAAAAGCAAGTTACAATTACAAGATGACTTCTCACTCATTAGACTAGCAAAGATTTAAAAGCTTAACTTTAATTGTTGGAAAAGATATGGGGAAAGGGGCTGCTGTACATGGGTGGTAGTTGAAGTGTTTGTTCTGGAACAACCACTTTAGAATGCAATCTTGCAGCATCTACTAGAATTTAAAATGTTCCTTCCAGGGCAGCTGGGGTGGCTCCGCGGTTTAGGGCCGCCTTCGGCCTGGGGTATGATCCTGGGGACCCGGGATTGAGTCCCGCATCAGACTCCCTGCATGGAGCCTGCTTCTCCCTCTGCCTGTGTCTCTGCCTCTCTCTCTCTCATGAATAAATAGATAAAATATTTTTTAAAAATAAAATGTTCCTTCCACCTCTGTGTATTTTCCCTAGAGAAGCTCTTCCACTTTACACCATGAGATGGGTATAGGGATGCTCAGTGCCACAGCAGAAGTACAAGAAAAACCTCAGAAGGAGCTGCTCCGAAGTCATTACATCCACGACAGTGGCTGCCTCTGGGGCTGGAAGGAGGGAGTGGGACTAGCCTGGGGAACCATGTGAGACTTTATCTTTTAACAACTTCATCTCTTAAAAAAACAAAACAAAACAAAAAAAAAAAAAACAAAAACAGCTTCATCTCTAGTATTTATTTAAAATAAGAAAAATTAAGCAAAGAGAAAACGTTAATGATGATCCCTTCTAGCAGTGGGTACACAGATGATGACTGTACTAATCTCTGTATTTTTCTGGATTAAAAAAATTTTTCTTAGAATACCATGGAATAAAAATTTAGACTTTATCCTATAGATCAGGGTTCCCAAGCATGTTCTACTAGTTCAGGGGGATAGAGTTCTGCAATCAAAAGGCTCCAGAGATAAACAGACCTGGGAAATGCCATGTTGAGCTGATGTCTTTACTACAGGACTTCTTCAGTATGCTAATGTGTATTTTGAATCTCCAATTTTGCAGGATGGGGAATTGAGAATATAATTTCCCAAAGTAATTTAACCACTGCACCCTTCCTTCATGAGCCACTGGCACCCCAACGAACAGGTTTGGGATACTTAACTATTAACAACTAGGTCTTGCTGCAGGATTTCATTTATTTTTTTAAAAGATTTATTTACTTTTTATTTTTTTTTATTTTTTATTTTTTTTTTAAATTTTTTTTATTATTTATGATAGTCATATATATATAGAGAGAGAGGCAGAGACATAGGCAGAGGGAGAAGCAGGCTCCATGCACCGGGAGCCTGACGTGGGATTCGATCCCGGGTCTCCAGGATGCGCCCTGGGCCAAAGGCAGGCGCCAAACCGCTGCGCCACCCAGGGATCCCCTTATTTACTTTTTAGAAAGAGAGACAACATGATGGGGAGAAGCAGAGGGAGAGGGAGAATCTCAAGCAGACTCTTTGTTGAGCACAGAGCATGACTCAGGGCTCAATCTCACGACCCTGAGACAACCTGAGCTGAAACCAAGAGTAGGATGCTTAGCTGATTGTGCCACCCAGATGCCCCTTACTGAAGGATTTTAAACAGAAATGATAAGAGATATGCCTTTTAGAAAGATCACTCTGGTGGTAGAGGAGAGTACGAATGGATGGTAAGATTAGTTGAGGAAGAAGAATAAGGAGGCTACTGCCATGGGCCTTTTATTTGTTCAAGTACTTACTCAAGTACTTTTTATTTTAAGATTTTATTTATTCATGAGAGACACAGAGACAGAGGTAGAGACACAGGCAGAGGGAGAAGCAGACTCCCTGTGGGAGCCCAATGCAGGACTCAATCCCAGGACCCTGGGATCATGCCCTGAGCTGAAGGCAGATGTTCAAACACTGAGCCACCCAGGAGCCCCTCAACATGTATTCTTGAACGTTAAGTCCAAGTGAAGATGGAGGGCACGGACAGCTTAGAAGTAAAGCGGAGTACAGGGTAAAAGGAGGCATTAGGATGACTTCTAGATTCATGGCTTGGTATCCAGGTATGTGGAGGTAACATAAACTACAGCTAGGAATATAAGAGGTGACACAGGTTTGAGAGGGAAAGATGCCAAGTTCAACTCTGTCTTTGTGAATTTGAGGTGTCCCCAGGATATCCAAGTACACTCAAGGGCTTAGGAATTAGAAACACAGGTTTATGATCAGGAGAGAGTCTGGGCCACAGATAAAATTAGGAGGTATGTGGAGAATAGTGAAAGCAATAAGACTGAACAGAAATTTACAGCAAAGCAAATTATGGTAATAATAGCACTAAATATTTACTGAGTGCTGACTTAGTGCCAGGTGCTATACTCATCACATTTCATGGACTTGCTCATCTAATTCTAAGAGGTAGGAATACAACCACCTCCAGTTTACTTATAAAGAAACCCAGGCAGACAGAATCTAGATAACTCATCTGAGGTCACATAACTAATAAGCAAACAGAAAGAGGAGACACATCAACATTTATTATTTTTATTTTTATTTTATTCTTTTTTGAGAGAGAGAGCATGTGTGGGAGTGGGCAACGGCGGGGGGGACAGAAAGAGAGGGAGAAAGAGAGTCTTAAGCAGGCTCCATGTCTAGTGCAGAGCCTGACACGGCTCAGTCTCACAACCCTGAAATCATGATCTGAGCTGAAATCAAGAGTCAGAAGCTTAACTGACTGAGCCACCTAAGTACCCCAAGACACACCAACATTTCAACAGTGGGTAGAGAGAAGTCCCTGATACAGCACAAAGAGGAAAATGTTGAGAGGTGAGGACTAAAGCAGGAGCAGGCTGTGTTTTAGAAAATATGAGAATAGAGATGTTCAGGAAGGAGAGGTTCACAGGCCCAAGTGCCACCAGGAGGATAGCTGGAAGACTAAGAAACTGCCCCTAGATTTGGCAATTCTGAGGTCCCTGGTGACCACTGTGAGAACAGTCTCAATGGGGAAGGGGAGCCTAATTGGGACAGGTTGAGTAATCCATAGAAAGAAAGAAGTAGAGACTCAGAAAGATTCTTGGCTGAGAAGGCAAGGTAAGAGAAAGAAAACAAGGCAGAGGGGGATGCCTGGGTGGCTCAGCAGTTGAGTGCCTGCCTTCAGCCCAGGGTGTGATCCTGGAGTCCCAGGATCGAGTCCCACATCAGGCTCCTTGCATGGAGCCTGCTTCTCTCTCTTAATAAACAAAAACAAACAAACAAACAAACAAAAAAACAAGGCAGAGGGAGACAAACGGACAATGACTCAACTCTAACGGTGAGTGCAAAAAATCAGTCCATCAGTGGTTCCCAGTTACTGAGGACTTCCTATGTCCTTTGTACTTTGCATTGATGAACTGCTGATTCTAAGAGAGGGGCATACAATGAGGCATGCTACAATCGCTAACTCATTATGGTAGCCATAGTTACTACCTGCCTCTTTTAAAGATGAGAAAACTGAGGCACAAAAAGGTCAAGTACTCTGTCCAGGTTGCATGGCTAGTCAGTGACAAAGCCAAACTCTGATCTCAGGTCCTCTTACTTTTGACCTCTAACTGATAAAAACCTCTCTAAATACAGGCATGCAAAAATAATAATTATTATTATAATTAAAATAAGGACACTTAGGTGACTCAGCAGTTGAGTGTCTGCCTTCAGCTCAGGGCATGATCCCAGGGTCCTGGGATCGAGTTCTGCATCAAACTCCCTCCAGGGAGCCTGCTTCTCCCTCTGTCTGTGTCTCTGCCTCTCTCTGTCTTTCATGAATAAATATATAAATAAAATCTAAAAAAAAAAATAATAATAATAAAACCTATTCAGAGAAAAGGTTATAAGAATGAAATACAGTGTTTTGTACATACAAACATAGTTCTTTAAGGTTTATTAAAAAATTTTAGGGGATCCCTGGGTGGCGCAGCGGTTTAGCGCCTGCCTTTGGCCCAGGGCGCGATCCTGGAGACCCGGGATCGAATCCCACGTCAGGCTCCCGGTGCATGGAGCCTGCTTCTCCCTCTGCCTGTGTCTCTGCCTCTCTCTCTCTCACTGTGTGCCTATCATAAATAAATAAAAATTAAAAAAAATTAAAAAAAAAAAATTTTAAAGTCAATTCATAAGGGGAGGGGGAAGGTGGGAGCATGGGGTAACTGGGTGATGGGTACTAAGAAGGGCACTTGATGAGATGAGCACTGGGTGTTATACTATACATTTGCAAGTTGAATTTAAATAAAATAGTAAAAAAAAAGTAAAATATATAAATAAATTCCCAACGACAATAAATAACAAATAAAAAAAGTCAATTCAATAGATTAATTCAGTTCCTACTGCCAGGCCCCTGGGGATACAGTGTGAGCAAAGACAGACAGACGATCAGTAGAAGACACAAAGAAAAACAAGGAATTAGAAGATGTTGAGTATGACTACAATGGGGTGAGACAGTTCTGGAGCTAGACTGGCTGAGTTTGTGACCTTGAACACAATATTAACTAACTCATAGCTCAGTTTCTCCTTCAAACTGACAACAGCATCCATCACCCTTTGACTAATGGGATGAAGAGAGGGTGGGACAGACAGGGGTGGAAATGGAGCTTTAGGTTCAGATCGCCTCCAAGAGACATGGATTTGAGTTCCAGCTCTACTCCTTACAAGCTTTGTGACCTTGAGCAAGTTATCTGACTTCTTGAAACCCACTTCCTCATAGGAATGTGATGAGGAATAAAAGAGCTAGTCCTCAAGTAGCACTCAGAGCAGTGTCTGGCAGACAGAAGGCACTGGGTAAGTGTTACCAGTTAGCCAGGAAGACAGTTTGGGATGGGGAGTGGGGAAGGCTCAGAGGAGCAGGAAAAGCCCAGAGAAGGACGTGGGGTCAAGAGGAGGTAAGCAGAATTGGCATAGGCTGGATAAGGGCTAAGGCCAGTGGGAGGTACTCACATTGGTGAAGGGAGGCCTGTGATGCTGGTACTCGATCCAAGGGGGTACAGCCAAGGTGCGGTTCAACAGCTTTGCAAAAGCCAGGGAGCCCAAGAAGTGATCAGCCTGGTTCCCGAAGCGCCCTGGATGGTATATGGTGGTTGAGGTGAGGCCTGGGGCATTGAGGGCATGGGGCATTCAGGATTCAGAAAGGATACAGGGCCAAGGGTGGGGGAGGGCCAGGACACCAAAGAGAGCCAGGGGAGCTGGCAGTATTGGATCAAATCTGGACTTGTGGGTCTGACACTCAAGGCCCTCAGATCCTATCTACCCTTCTGCCTCAGGTGCTCCAGGTTCCTTGCTCTTTCCCAGACATGCTCTACATTTCTCACCTGGACCCTATGCCTTTGCTCCTGTTGTTTGTTCTCTCATCCAGGAGGGCCCTTCCACCTTTATCTTCACTCATCTGTGTATGAAGGGCCAACTCCAATGCCTCATTCTTTTTTTTTTTTTTAAGATTTTATTTATTTATTTATGAGAGACACAGAGAGAGAGGCAGAGATACAGACATAGGGAGAAGCAGGCCCCTCACAGGGAGCCCAATGTGGGACTCGATCAGGACTGGGATTATGCCCTGAGCCAAAGGCAGATGCTCAACCACGGAGCCACCCAGGCATCCTTCCAATGCCTCATTCACTGGGATCCTTTCACCAACCCTCTGCTATACTCAATCCCCTCCTCTGCCTCCCACCTTGGATTGGAGCTATTTATGGCTTTTTATTTTTCCTCAAATGTCCTTTCCTACTTCCCTGTTTCTTCAGCCTGTGAATACCTTGGGTGCAAGGACCCTGTCTGATACTTTTCGTTATCCTCAGCATGACGTCCACTCATTCATTCAACAAATACTGAGAGGCTGCACTGTGCGAGGTTCTCTGCTTCGTGCTGGAATACAGGATTCAACAAGAAGGATAAGGTCTCTGCCTTTGAGGCACTCACAGTCCAGCTTGAGACATTAAACACATAAAATAAGTGTATTGTGGTAAATTCTGATAATTTCAAGGAAGAAATGGGAAAAGTTTGGTGATGGAGAACAGTAAGATGGAGGTTATTTGTGTTGAGGTCATCAAAGTCCTTTCTGGTGACATTTAAGCTGAGACCTAAGAAAGGGAAGGAGTTCATTTGGCAGAAGTGAAGAAGAAGGTGTTCCGGTCAGTGGGAATAGCACAGGTGTCAGGACCTGAGTATGTGTGAGGAGGAGAGGGAATATGAGTGGCTGCAGCTCGGGCACATGGGGAGAAAGGAGTGGTGGTAATGATGGGCAGAGGGCCAAATCGCCAGGGCCTGGAGTCTGGAGGGTTTTAAGAAGGAAGGCCTTTTACGATGACAATCCACCACCCCATTTAAATTGTCGCTTTTAGATTCTCCCTAACTCTTCTCTATTTCATTTTTCCATAGCGTTCATCCTCTTCTAAGATACTATGTATAATTACTTTTTTTTTTTAATGCCTATCTTTTATCGTCTTTCTTTCCCAGCGATGATGAAGGTTCTCCAAGGGCATGGCGTTTTCTGTCTTACCACTGCTGTATCCCCAGAACATTAAACAGGGCTGGGCACAGAGTAGGGATCCTACAAATATTTGTTGAACGATGAAAGAATCGTCCAGAGCCAACGTGGAGTCAATGATATCAAGTCCTGCCCCACTAATTCCATTTACTGAACTCTGGGCTGGCTTAAACCTTTCACAAGACGCATAACCTCTCCTGGCCTCAGTTTCCTCATCTGCCAAATGGAAGGTTGGACGCAGAGGCCCCTCAGGGCCGTCGGAACTGGGGCAGAGAGGCGAGCAGCAGGCCATGCCCCCACGCTGGGGTTCTCTCGTGGACATGTCAAGGTATCTCTGGGCACCTCGGAAGAGGGCCTTCGCCTCTCTGGGCCTCAGTTTCCCCATTTGAGCAGAGGACTCGGGAGGCCTTACCCATGCATGGGCAGTAGAGCAGGTAACCGGCCGGGTCCCAGGAGCCCACGGGCAGCCCCGGGAGCGGCAGACTCAGCAGCAGGAGAGACACACGCAGCGGCAGGGGCGACGATGCCCACGCGGCGGCGCCCATGACGGCTCGGGAGCCCGAGCGCGCGGTGGTGCGAAGGCGGGCCGAGAAGGAGGGGCGCGAGCGTCCGCCCCGCTCCCGGCGGTCCCCGCGCGCCGCCCCGCGCGCCGCCCCGGCCTCTCTAGCCCGCGGGCGGGCGGGATCATAGAGAGCCCGCGGCACCGCCCCCTCCACGGCCCGAGCGCCCGCTCGCGCGGCTCCCACAATGCACCGCACAATGGCCCGACCGCCGCCACTACCGGGGCCTGAGCGGGCCTGGCGGAGCCCGAGCGCGGCCCTGCCCGCAGCGCGGGGCCCCGAGCGCGGTGAGTGCCGGCGAGGGCCCCGGGGGACGGCGGGGAGCGGGGCGGGAGGCCGTCTCGCTGCGCCCGCGCGCCCGGCACCCGGCGCGGCGGCGCCTCTCCTCTCGGGCCCCACGGCGCGGTCGCCCGCACCCCCGACCGGGGGCCCCCTCCACGCCAGTTCGGACCCAGATAGGCCCCGGGGTGACGAAATCTCTCCGCGGACCCGATACCTGGTCGGGGGACCGGAAGAAACCCCAGTGGCCCCCTCCCTACCGAGGCCTGGAGACTCCCCCCGAGGGTCCCCTACTCTTGAACCCCCAGGCTCCCTGGAGACCCAGATAACGCGCTGCTGACCTTACCAGGGACCCGGGTCTGGGGGACGCAGATAAGCTGCACCTGCTCCCTCCCCTCAGACACGCCTACCGGACCCACATAACCCCTTTTCCTGCTCCAAATACTCGGCTTTTTACTCTCCGTTTCGTTTCCCAGAACCACATAACCCATTTTGAGGCTTCCGTCAAATACCTGGCTCTGGAGAACCCCAATAAGCTCTACCTATGATTCCCTCCTCAGTCACCATACTCCCAAACCTTAGATATCATCCATCTGGTTATGCTTTTGAGACCATTAATACTCAGAGAATTCACTTCTAATTATCTTCAATCCCTGGAATCCTCCAGCCTTTATAATCCCCCATCTCTTTCTGTTTGGGGCGGGGGGGGGGGGAGGTCCCTTAGAGATTCAGTTAACTTGCTAATGATTCTTTATCATACTTTCCCTTCCTTCCCATCCCTGAGACCTCCTCCAGACTTCTACCTGAATCTCTGTCCCTTCTCTGGCAGGCGTCCACTCCCATCTCTCCCAGCTCCAGGGGAATAGAATATTTTCCACCATACAGTGGAGTGATCTGAAAGCTGCCAGAGGAGCCTGGTTATTCCCTGAAAAATCGCAGGCTATGGCCCCAGCTTGGTGGGGGGAAAGGGACCTGTAAGGTGGAAGATGAGGGGACAACTGGTGTGGGGAGTTGGTGCTTTCACCTGCAAGAGTAGCCTGTCTCCTGGCTTGTATGTTTTTCCACCTGTTAGTTTGGGACTGTGATAGAGTCTGGCCTTGGATTTCTAGCCCTGCCCCCCACAATGAGGCCACTCGTCGGGGGGGGGGGGGAGTCCTTAGGGGTGTCCAACCAGGCTTCCTTGTAATGAGAATGGGGCTGTAGTGAGTTGCAGCCATTTACTCAAGGCCTCCTCAGGAGTGGGAGGCAGCGGGAATGGGAGGAAAGAGTGAATCAAAGGGACTGCAAAGAGGGCCCATCTACAGTGACAGAAGAACTAGCAGCCCGAGAGTAAATCCAACCCCTGTTAATCCTGTTTGATGTCCCTTGGAATGATGCAAGTCATTGAGGCTCTCAGGCCTCCCTGTAATTTAATTCTCCCACCACTGGAGTGTGTGTGAGGGAGGGAGGGAGGCGGGCAGCTCTTCCCATTCCCCCCTTTCCTTCTCACTTTTTTCCAGCCAGTCAGTGTGTCATTTGGATTTGTTTCTGGTGCTCAGGTCAAGACCTGGTTTTTTTTTGTTGTTTTTTTTTTTCCCCCTCTCTCAGTCTATTTATAATTTCCCAGTTGCTATTTTGGGTTCTGCTTAAGGGAAGATTCTGTCCACCCTAAGGAACGTTCCAGGGTGTGTTCCCGGGTGTGTTTCCTCCTCGGCAGGTGTTGAATTGAGTTCTTCAGATCCCCAAGTAGCTCTTGGGCTGGAGGGATAAAAGCTATTTTAGGGTAGTCACTGAAGTGGAGCTGTTAATCCTCCATGGGTCTCTCTCGTTAAGAACACTTAGGGATTAACCCTTTCCTTGCTGCACGGGGGCTGCTCCTCCACAGTTTTGGGAAGGTTAGGAGAGTTTCCTGCTGGCAGCAGCAGGTTAGATGGGAACGTGCAACTCAATACAAAGGCAAAGATAATAGCTGCCTTTTGTTGGGTACTTACAGCAAGCCAAGCCCTATGCTGAGCCCTTTGCATACCTGACTAAAATAATCCTCACAACAAGCCTGTGAGGTAAGTATTTTTAGCTTTACAGATGAGGAAACAGGCTAATAATGGAGAAAGAACACAGTTTCTATAGAGATGATGTAACACCATAAAAACTATAGTTTCGTCAGAGGGCAGCAGGCCATCATGGCACACAGCAGGACAGAGAGACTAGGGAGCTATTTGTCTCCTTTCAGCTTCCAGAGAGGGTCTTTGAGAGTTTTTAGAAAGCATTTGTGTTTGGGGTACAGAGCCTTAGTAACGTAATAGAAGAGATTCCTAAAGTGAGAGAACCGCAGCCCAGGATGTGGTGCGGGAGGAAGGGAGCGCAGGGGGCACTGGTTAGAGGGGATGTGCTGCGGCTTGACTGTGAGGGAAAAGGGGAAGGCTGCATTCTGGGGAGATGTTGTGAAGGGAAGGAAGCTCACACGGAGGGCTGAGAAGTGACATTAAAGGGGGAAAAAAAAAAGAAGTACTACTCAGGCCCTGTGCGGAAAAGAGGCAGACACAGTATATAGACCCGGGAGACGGCTCTGCATGTACTCACACACTTTATGTCAGGTACTTCATCCTCCATGAGACTGTTCTAGGTAAGGAGTAAATCTTTGTTTTAGGAATTGAAACTGAGATTCAGAGAAACACAGTAACCTGCCCCTGGTTTCACAGCCAGTAAGTGGCAGCCCTCCTGATAGCAAGTCCAAGGTTCTTTCCACACTACCTCCCTCTTCAGATCAGGCGCCAGAAGGAATCTTTGGATGAAAATATACCAAGTTATACCAGTAACTGGGAGGGATTGATTGTGTTTGTTTTATGGGAACAGGTTCTGTCAGCTTCTCTACAGTTGTTAAGGTTAGAGTGTGAGACCAGAAAAGCGGCTTTGAAAGAGAAGCAGAATTCTTTCAGTTTTGCCCAGGAAGAAGTCTGAAGGAGAGAGGCCCAGGAATTTTCCTGGAGGAGAGGAGTTTGCAGACAAAGGACAGAGGGAGAGAGACTAGATTCCCAAAGGGCTCCTAAGGTAACACTGGAAGCTTTGGTTATCCAGCAGCCTGTTGGTGACTCTAGGTAAGGACTTCCGCTGTGCCTTTTTAAAAGGGTAGGGGTAGGGCAGCCTGGATGGCTCAGCGGTTTAGCGCCGCCTTCAGTCCAGGGCTTGATCCTGGAGACCTGGGATCAAGTTCCCCGTTGGGCTCCCTGCGTGGAGCCTGCTTCTCCCTTTGCCTGTGTCTCTGCCTCTCTCTCTTCTCTCTCTCTCTGTCTGTCTCTGTCTCTATGAATAAATAAATAAAATCTTTAAAAAAAAAGATAAAAAAAACCCAAAAGGGTAGGGGGAATAGGATCAGGGTGTTGGCTGTTTCCTTTTAAAGCCATAGATCCATTAAAAGCAGATCAAGGAAGGCACATGGCTGCCTCCCCCTTTGATTCTCTCAGTACGACCTCGTGAGCTCTCCTTAGCCACCACCGGCTTCTTTCCTAGAAGCCCATTACTCACTCTTTCAGAAGCAGCATACTAAACTGCTGTGTCTTGTTTGTGCTTGTTCAGGAGAACAGAAGAGGTGGACGTGTGGGAGGTAGGGGACGTACTGTTCTCTTTCTGAGTTTGTGTGGAATTTCCAGGGCTAGGCTTCCCTCTCACGTTGGCCAGAGTGATGGGACTTGCTTCCCTCCGGCTGCGCTTCCTAGCTTTCCAGAGGCTGAGGTGCATGATTCTGGGTAACAAGGGGGAGTAGAATTTGACTTTGAGGGTAGGGGAAATTCCCTCCAAACTAGATGTTCAAACTCGTGCTCGCTCTCTACCCAATTCCAAGGTTCGTAGTAATCACTGGTATTATAAACAGGTAATTCCACCCTTGAGAAGGAAGGACTTAAACCATGAAAGGCAGATGTCAGAGGCCTTTGAGATTTATTGTGAAGCAGGCAGGTACGCCACGATGACTCAAAGGCTCAAGTGGGACTAGTTTTTAGTGCTGCCCACCCCTCCCCAGCATGTGACTCATGCAAAACGCAGCCACCTTTGTGCAGATCTTTCTAGGCAAATCTCCACTCGTGATGGGGAAATGTTTATCATATTACATTGCAATGTTTCTTCAACAAGAGGAGTGGTTCCTGAACAGGACGTAGCTCACGTTAATGATGAGCAAAGCTCTCTGGGGCATGAACCCGCTGATCCCATCATCTCGTTCACGGCCAGTCTGTTGGATGAATGGTCACTGTAAGCAGCAGGTGCTAATGAGCTGAGCAAGCATTCTGTGGCACACAACTGTTTGTGTGGTTGGAGCCCTCCCCAGATTCTCGTGGACAATCCCGAGATACCCTCTTTGCTCCCTTCACATGGAAAAGCCTCATGACCAGATTTTGGCATGACCTCTTCAAAAGGAATCCCCCCCCCCCCCGTTGTGGCAAGTTGCTTTGCAGTTGGTAATCTATGATGAGTTTGTGAGTGTGAATATGGATCTGTTGTCCCCCTTTGAGAGTCCATACAGTAACTCCCATCCTCTCTTCCTTTGAGTTGATGTCAAGAAAAACAGCTCTGTCATCTTTGCTCTAGTTTTCCCCCTTCTCACAGCCCTCCCCTCCCCCTGCCTCAACAAGAGAAAGGATCAGACTTCAAGATATTGGCTCCCCACTTTGGAAGGGCTGTGACCCCAGATTAAACCAGAACTTTCTGAGCATAACTTAGCCTTGCATCAACTTGCATTCAATGATTAATTTACCCATATAAAAGAAAGTTGAGAGGCCTTTTCTAGATGCTAAGTGTGTGGAAACGAAAGAACTGTGATCTGACCCTTCAAAGAATCAGAGTTTGCTGGAGTTCTAATGCAAGTATGCTATGTGCTCGTAATGGAGAAATTAAATACATATGTGCTACAAGGGTCTGTGGAAGGGACCGCTCAGCACCTGGGGTGTTGGACAGGCTTTGCTAAAGAAGCAGGGAGACCCAGAGAGGTGATGGCGGGTAGGATGGGACCAGTCTTCATTTAGGAGAAATGCGAGTCTGCTGTTGCCTCCTTAGGCAGAACTACTCATTGATGCTCTGCTGAGAAACACATCTGGCTCCCGGGACTGACTTTCCAGGGTGTAAATTCCTAAGCAAAGGCTTCTTCCTTCCCTGTTGCCTTTTGGGCATTTTATTGCTCTTTAGCACCTCCATGAGGAGGAGAATTATGGAAAGTAGTGGGTGAGGAGGAGGTAGGGTAAAGAGGAGGAGGAGGAGCTGCTATCTCTAAGTTTAGTGGAAAGGATATAAAAGTGAACTTGGAAGAGAATAGTTGGAGTTCAGGGCTTTTACTTCCTCAAATTATCTTGTTTACTATTACTAGATAGTACTAGTAATAATGGTTACCATTAAACATTTAGTAGGTGCCCAGTTTTCTGCTGAATGCTCTCTATTCATTATCTCGTTTAATCCTCAAACCATCCTTACTATTTAGGAGTTTATTAAGCCCATTTTGTAAATGAGATAGCTCAGGGAAGTAAGTAATTGGCTGAAAGTCACATGGCTTTGAAATAGAAGGGCTGGGATTGGAATGGGATCTGTCTGCCTCCAGAGCCCATGTTTTCATGGTATTGGGCTCCCTAACACCAGGTGTTCTGATGTTTCAGGTGAAGAGATTGTTTTCTGAAGGCTGCGTTGGAGGCTGTGACAGAGCAGAGAGCCCGTGTGGAGCTGATGGGGAGGCTTTCTGAATAACATGGCCCTTCGCCATTAGTCTTGCCATGACCACATTTTTCACCAGCGTCCCCCCCTGGATTCAAGATGCAAAGCAGGAGGAGGAAGTGGGCTGGAAACTAGTTCCCAGGCCTCGGGGCCGGGAGGCGGAGAGTCAAGTGAAGTGCCAATGTGAAATCTCGGGGACGCCCTTCTCAAATGGGGAGAAGCTGAGGCCTCACAGCCTCCCCCATCCAGAGCAGAGACCGTATAGCTGCCCTCAGCTACACTGTGGCAAGGCTTTTGCCTCCAAGTACAAGCTATATAGGTAGGTGACACTCCCATATTTCTTATTGCCCTGAGGTTCCCAGAGGACAAAGCCAAAATGACTCCACTGAGTATGAGGTTTTATCTGTGACAGAGGAGTGCAGAGGAGTGGAGGTTAATTGGCCCGTCAGTGTATCCTGAACACTAACCATTTGAAGTCACTCACTAAAAACTAATGCTGATATTTGTATTCAGACATTAGACTCTGATGGGGAAGTAATCAGTCAGTCATGAACAATCCAGATTGAACAATTTTGTCAATACTGCTTTCCCCACCTTTGTCAGGTAATGGTGAGAATAGTCAGGAATCGGTCTTAGAACTTTAGAAAGGAAAAAAAAAAAAAAAGAACTTTAGAAAGAAAAGGAGTCCCTCTGGTCCAGTCTTTCAATTTTATTTTATTTTTTTAAGATTTTATTTATTTATTTGAGGGGGAAAGAGAGAGAGTACTAGTGAGGGGCAGAGAGGGAGCCTGATACGAGGCTCCATCAGATCATGACCTGAGCCAAAGACAGATACTGAAACAACTGAACCACCTAGGCACCCCCCATCTGTAAATTTTAAGGTGGAGGCTCAGAGTGGGGAAGTAATTTACCCAGGTTCACATAGTTTCTTTGGTCCTACAGTGCCTCATCTTCTTAATGAGCCTGCTACTCACGTGATTACTTCTGTCTCTGTAGAATCCCTGGTGTCCTCTGGTTCAGCAGCTGCTCTGGAACTTGTAAGCCCAGGAGCCCCATATAAAGTGAAATGGATGTGAAGGTCCTGGTGTAAAGTAGATATAGCAGAACAGCTTGGAAGTGCAGGGGCCTGCTCAGATTTTATCCTTGCCTTTCCATCAGAGGAACAAGAACATGCCCCTTATAAATGAGATAGACTACCCGATGCACACCGCTTCATCCGTTCATCTAGCCAGCGCTGATTTATTGAGCTCCTGCTACGTACCAGGCACAGTATTGAGTGCCAGGGATAGAGTAGTGAGCCAGGCAGATGGGAGTTGTTGGCCCACCTTGATAAGATACTACTATCTTAGTAGTGGGGACAGATAGCAAGTAGGTAAGTAAACAAACAAGTTGGGCAGCCCTGGTGGCGCAGCGGTTTAGCACCGCCTGCAGCTCAGGGTGTGATCCTGGAGACCCTGGATCGAGTCCCGCGTCGGGCTCTCTGCATGGAGCCTGCTTCTCCCTCTGCCTGTGTCTCTGCCTCTCTCTCTCTCTCTGTGTCTCTATGAATAAATAAAATCTTAAAAAAAACAAAAAACAAAAAACAAAACAAAACAAAAAAAACAACAAGTTGACCACAGAAAGCCTTAGTTCCTTGTCTGGAAAACAGTTGATAGGAAGAAACTAAAACAGGTAACAGGGTAGTGTGTGACCGGGATTGTCCTTATGACAGTTCTGTAGTCCTCAGGAATGCTTTAATTCTGTGTGCTCCCGTGTCTTAGGTGGACTCCAGTGGGGCCATCCTCTTAGACTTTCTTAGTACAATCTGGGTGTCCATGGGAGGCTGCAAGAAAGGTCCTGGTCTGGGGGCGGGCAGGAGCCCCAACTCCATCTGTAGTCACTGTGTGAGCTTTGGCGAGTTACTAAATCTCTTAAGGTCTTGGTTTCCTCACTTGCAAAATGAAGGAACTGGACTGTGGATCACTCAACACCTCCCTCTCATACATTATCATGTCTGTTATATCACAGGAGTTCCACAGTAACTCAGGTTTGAGCATTCACAAACGTAGCATGATGGTAATGGCTGTGTTTGATGCCTTCCAGGTAGGAAGGATCACTGCGTGCTGTAGTGGAGACATTGGTGGCATACCTAAGTGAATTCAGGTTTCAAAAAGGACTGTGTTCAAATTCAGCCTCTGCCACTTACTGACTGGTGGGTGGGGCTGTCCTGTGCTTGGGACTCTTGTGGAGAACAAGGTTAATGACAGTTCACACAGGGCCTGGTAAATGGTGGGTCCTCAAAGTCTTGCTAAGTGTCTGTGGAGTTCCAGATTATAACTCCTGGACTCTGAGCTGCTGTCCTTCAAGATGGGAGCAGGTAAACCAAGGGACACTGAGGTGGTATACCATGGGAACAGTTTTTTATATTGTTGCTGGTTTATATGGCAAATACTTCAAATAATACAAATAGGCATTCAGTGAAGAATGAATTGTCCTCGTGTTGGAAGCTACCATTCTCCTTCCCAGAGGTGTCCAGTGGCGTCAGTTTCTTGTGTATTCTTGCTAAGACATTGAAACATGTACTCCCTTCCCTTTTTGTTTTCACAAGGGATTGTATTACACACTATACTAAACTTCCTTTTTTGACTTAGCCTCTTATATTTTGGGATTCTCAGATCAGGAAGTTTAGATATATTTCATTTTTCTTTTATTGTGTCATTTTAAATTTTTTAAATATAATTTTTTGAAAAGGAAATACATTCACGTACATCAAAAATTCACAAGGTACCAAAAGGTATACAATGAAATTCTCCATCACACCCATAAATTTTCTATCTCTTCTCCCCATAGGCAACCAATGTTGTTAGTTTCTTGTATATCCTTCCAGAAATCTTTTTGAGCAAACCTACATCTATTTTCCCTCTTTTCCTATACATAGTACCATTTTGAGACACTGTTCTGTCACTGTTCTGTCCCATTGCTTTTTCCCACTGCATATATCTTAAGAGCTTATTCCCTTTATATGTTCCCCAACATACAAAGCTGCCTTACTTTTTAAAACAAAGTTGAGTCATTTTATGAACTTACCATAATTTATTTCACCAGTTGTTAGTGGTGAATGTTGATGGACATATAGATTGTTCCTGATTTTTAACTACTACAAACAGTGCTGCAAAGACTAGGAGTACATGTGTGATTTTGCAGGTGGGTGAGGACACCTAGAGAATCTAGATCCTGACTGGCATAGTATCCTTTTGTGTTCCAGCACATGGCTCAACCATAATTTTTTAATCTAGTTCCCTGTTAATGGACACCTCGGTTGTCTGGCCAGCCCTTGTGATCTCCCTTCTTTATTTCTCCTCTATCCTCCATCCCTACCCCCAGGCACATGGCCACCCACTCAGCCCAGAAACCCCACCAGTGTATGTACTGTGATAAGATGTTTCATCGCAAGGACCATCTGCGGAATCACCTGCAGACCCATGACCCCAACAAAGAGGCCCTTCACTGTTCTGAGTGCGGTAAGAATTACAATACGAAGCTAGGCTACCGGCGCCACCTGGCTATGCATGCCGCCAGCAGCGGTGACCTCAGCTGTAAGGTGTGCCTGCAGACCTTTGAGAGTACCCAGGCCCTACTAGAGCACCTGAAGGCCCACTCACGCCGAGTAGCAGGCGGTGCCAAGGAGAAGAAGCACCCCTGTGACCACTGTGACCGGCGGTTCTATACTCGAAAGGATGTGCGGCGGCACCTGGTGGTGCACACAGGCCGGAAGGACTTCCTATGCCAGTACTGTGCCCAGCGGTTTGGCCGCAAGGACCACCTGACACGTCACGTCAAGAAGAGCCACTCGCAGGAGCTACTCAAAATCAAGACAGAGCCAGTGGACATGTTAGGCCTACTCAGCTGCAGCTCCACAGTTAGTGTGAAGGAAGAGCTGAGCCCTGTACTGTGCATGGCCTCTCGGGACGTGATGGGGGCCAAGGCCTTCCCTGGCATGTTGCCCATGGGCATGTATGGTGCCCACATCCCTACCATGCCCAGCACAGGCATGCCACACTCCCTGGTGCACAACACGTTGCCCATGGGTATGAGCTACCCTCTGGAATCCTCACCAATCTCTTCCCCAGCTCAGCTTCCTCCAAAATACCAGCTTGGATCTACCTCATACTTGCCTGACAAATTGCCCAAAGTGGAGGTGGATAGTTTTTTGGCGGAGCTTCCTGGAAGCCTGTCTCTCTCGTCCGCTGAACCCCAGCCCGCCTCACCTCAGCCGGCGGCAGCTGCGGCCCTCCTAGATGAAGCACTGCTCACCAAGAGCCCCGCCAACCTCTCTGAGGCCCTCTGCGCTGCTAATGTGGACTTCTCCCACTTACTGGGCTTTCTTCCACTCAATCTACCCCCATGTAACCCGCCTGGGGCCACAGGAGGCCTGGTCATGGGCTACTCCCAGGCCGAGGCACAGCCCTTGCTCACCACTTTGCAAGCTCAGCCTCAAGACTCCCCAGGAGCTGGGGGACCACTGAACTTTGGACCTCTGCACTCCTTGCCTCCTGTCTTCACCTCTGGCCTGAGCACCACCACCCTGCCTCGTTTCCACCAGGCATTCCAGTAGCCCCAAGGAGGCCCTCAGTCCAGTCTTAGGCTCTGTCAGGGAGCCTCTGTACCCACCCTATCTGCATCCCTCATGAAGGCAGCTGAGCTTTCAGAGCTGGGTTCAAAAAGAAAAAATTCCAGTATCTGTATGGAGCACTTGGTTTGGGGGTTCAGGCTCCAGGATCAGTTCCAGGAGGAACCTTGAGCCCCAGCCCCCATGAAAAGATCTCATACCATAGAACTTCAGGTATTTTTACTTTTACTTTTTTGATCTGAATCGGGAGCCACACTTAGCCCTCTCCCCCTCCAAAGTGTCAGAACCTCCTTCTCTTCAGAGAAGGAAGCGACTCTTGGAGACATAGAGGGTGTCACTTTGGATGACCTCGAGAGAAATAGCCCAAGAAGCCCGCCTTCTGGTCCCAACCTGCAGACCCCACAGCAGTTGGTCAGGCCCTGCTGCAGAGAGAGGGTCACTTGGCTCCATCGCCTGCTTCCAGCCAGTGGGCAGGAGAGAGGGCCTCTTCTTCCCACCACCCCATCCCTCCTGTACCAACACCTCCATTTCCAGTCAGTGTTGTCCAGCAACGGTACCGTTTACACAGTCGTCTCAGACACACCATTCACCTCCCTTGCCAAACTGTTAGCCTTAGAATGATTGCAGTGAACATTGTTTACACGTCGTGAATCCATTCCCACCAGTCCATTCCAGTTGGCACCAGCCGGAACCATTTGGTACCTGGTGTTAACTGGAGCCCTGTTTACAAGGCGGAGTCGGGTCTCGCTGACTTCTCTTCACTTGAGGTCACATTTTTCCCCTGTGGGGAAATAAACTGACTTTGGACTGCTTCAGTCTCTGCCATCTTCCATGACTGTGTCTGTTCCTGCCTTCCTCGGCAGTGTCCACAAGACAGGCAAGAAGACTGGAGCCGTTTTCTCACAGGTCTGCAATTTTGTTTTTCTCCAAGTACATCATGACCCCTCCCCCTCCTCTTGAACTGGAGAGGGGAAGAAATGAAAGGCATGCCCGTTTCTATCACCCCCATTCCCCAATCCCTACCCCAAACATCATGAACTGTTGTCAGTCTTGGAAGGAGGAACTCGGGTCCTAAGCTGGTGTGGATAGCAAAGAAGAGGGTGTGAAACCCTGATTTGTCTCTCTCCTACTTGTTCCTTTTCCAGGAAGTTGTGGAATTGTTGGAAGAAGAGTTTTCAGGAAGTTAGGGCTGGGCAGATAGTTGAGTCCTAACCTATGGGTACGTCATTGGCTCCCATACATACCTTTTCTCTTATCCGCAGTATCCCTGTCTCTCCACTTTGCAGTTACTGTGGACTCTAGGCCACTGTGCATAGGCCTCTCTGCTCTCCATCAAAGAAATTCCACCTTCCTCTTGTGCCCCCTCCCCCAACTTGCCCCCAATACTTAGGGCTTCTTGCAACAGATGATTCATTTTCTTCTGGCTTGTGGTGCTTCTTGCCACAGACAGCACAGCCCTTGCCCTGCTGAACCCCATCTCTGCTTCATTCCTCAGTTCTGCATGGGCTTTGCTCTTCCCATTCACAAAGGGAGGCCGCTCAGGGACCACCAATGTGGGACCCTCCTGAGACACCTCCACTCTGATTCAGAAACACACTTCTACCTCTTTACTGTTAACTCCTGCAAACGCAGCCAGTAGTTTGGGGGCACTTTTAGCAGTGCCTCATGCTGGCTTCTCCACTAGGGTTTCAGGACAAACTACCAAGGAACTGCCTCAGCCTCCTCCCAGTCCGCCTACTCCCCCTTCTAGAAATCACTTTGCTTTATCATCCGGAACTGAGCAGTTCCAAGATCCAGGCTTCTACTTCAGCCCAGCCAGTACTCTTTGAGGTGAAAGCCTTAAAATGTAGCTCCCTGGCCCTTGATTGGAAGCAATGTGGCATGAACAAGCATGTTTTGATTTAGGCAGGGTAGCTTGGGATACCTTTAAAAAGAAACAAAACAAACCAGATATAAATATGTCTGGCAAGGTTAGATTCAGACTAGGTGATTTGCTTCTAAAAATTAGTTTCAGTGAGTCCCAGGGACTAACTAAGGTTTATTTTTAAAAGCGTCCGCCTTGGTACGCAGCCACCTCCTGCATGCTGTGCATGTTACTGGGACTCGTATTACAGGAAATGGTACGTGAGGGTCCAAGCAGGACTCCATGCTGCCATCCTCCTTATTGCCTCTGGTCCGCATCACTAGACCCAGCAGCTCTTCACCTGCTCCCTGCCACCTTCCCTGCACCTGTCGTTTATAGAGGCAAGTGGGTCTCTGGCCACAGAGTACAAAGTCTCAGGCTTAGAGGAGTCCACTCTTCCCTGCCTCCCCTTTCCTGTCCGCCCTTGAATTCTCTCACCCATTAGTGATGCTGGGAAACTCCTAGAACAGGCAGAGCAACTATTTAAAGGCTTATAACTGGGGCCTTGCCCCCCCCCCTTTCCACCCCTCCTTCCCTCTTCCTTCAGTGCCCTCACCACACACAAGGAATTTTCCTATCACTGTGAACTTTGCTGGTACAGAGGAACATCTGCCTTCACCTGTTTTTGGACCATAGCCACCCATCCGCTTCTTAAACTTCCCTTCCCCAAATTAAAAAGAAAAAAAAAAGAAAAGAAAAAAGCCTTATTGGCCTGGTTGTTCAAAGGAGAAGAACAGCTTTATCCTACACTCAGTACCAAACCCACTTCAGTACCTTTACTGAGGCCATGAGAGCCTGAGGGGTGTCTGCCCAGGACAGGAGCCATGGCATGTGGCGGAGACCAAACAGGGACCAGGAAAAAGGGGTGATGTTCCCTTTCCCCACCACCTCCTCCAACCTCTGTCAATGATGAACCACCCTGAAGGGGGTGGGGGGAGGCAGGCACCTCCCATCCTGCACATAGCTGGTCAAGGCGGAGTGCAGTCCTGGGGGCTAGAGGATGACCTAACCCAGCTGTGTCAGCTCAAAGGATCTGTGCACATTTTAAAAGAGGGGAGAGGTGGGAAAAGGAGCACCAATGAGTTCCCCCCCCCAACCTTTTACAAATGGCATTTAATGGAAATCCGGGAAGCAGGTGTGATTACTTTTTTGCTCGTAGATATTGTCCTAAGTTGAAATTCTTCCACTACCCTAAGCCTCCTCTAGTAGTCTGAATCCCTTTCCCCCTTTCTTTTTGGTAGCTGTTTTCCCCATTCCCTCTACTTCCCCCTCTTATCTAGGAGCTGTTGTTAAGCACGATTTTTTTTAACAGTTTATATTGTACAGGATCAATATTTTGCTTTTTAACAAGGATATTTATGTAATAAGAAACTTTGCCTTAGGCAGGTGTTGGCCAGAAAAGTCCAGATTCCTCTGGGACCCCACCCTGGCCTCTCCTGGAGCTCTGAACCTGCTGTGGAAGGAATTGGCTATGACCTTCACCACTGGAGAGTAAGGTCTAAGGCAAGGGAAGGGGTGTTCTGGTTCTAACAGGAGGAGGATTCACCATGATAATCTAGTGCCTTTGTGGAGGGGTTTGGAAGAAGCATTCCAGCCCAATTTCTTTAGATGCAAGCTTACTTATGTGGCTGCCTCCACTGAATATTCGGCACCAGAACTCCTGAAACACCACTTCTCATTTGCCTCCCTCCCTCCCAGTGATCAAGGCTTTGGGGCCACTCTTTCGTAACGCCAGATTATTTAAAGAGAGAAAAATACAAGACAAAAACCTTCTAGCACTTTGTAAACACAGTGAATAACCTCTTGGAGTATTTTTGGCTTTATATAAAACAAGGTTTTTAATTGTAAAATATAAGTGCCATTAGAAAATGCACAGGGCGTATCTTTGTTAAAGTAGATTTTTCAATGTTTTACAGAATTACATTTTCAAAAAAAGTTTTTATAATGAAGTTGTTTATTAAAAACTTCTGAATGATGTGTTTGGAAGTTGTGAACCTGTCTGATTGGGAAAGGGTTGGAGAGAGCCTGAGGAAGAACTTGAAACTCCAGACATCTAGCCTCCAAAGGGATGGTGAGTATAGGGCCAACAGTAACAATCCTTCACATTAGTACCTACAAACTTTGTACTTTGAAATGAAAGATCTTAATAGGATGTCTTTGAGGTAAGTGGCATCATATTATCACTTAAACTTGGATGTAAGGGTCAGGAAAATCAAATTGGCTTAATGAAATTTCATATAACTAAAAATGCCAGATGTAGTGCAGTTTTTAGAATTGGTTCAGCCCCTCAAACGTGGTTGGCCTTAGCAGTCCTATCTTTCATGGCCCTGTCTTCCATAGTTGGGGACTTCATCCTCAGTCCCTACAAAGTGACTCGCCCCTTTGTGTAGTAGAATGCTGCCATCATTCCATCCCTGTCATTCTCACACAGTGCCGGCCAGAAAGAGAAGAGAGAGGAGTCCTCGTGTTCACAAGAGCCCCACTAGGCATCTCCTGTCTCACTGGCTTTGATGGGGCTCTGTGCCCTCCCCCAAACCAGCCAGTGATGACAAAGCTGAGAGAGACGAAATGAATGGTTTCATGAAGGAAATTGAGGCCAGTTAGGATGAAGAATGAATGCTGGTTGACCAGGAAAAGACCTGCCATCCCCTGTCCAAGGTACATGGCTGGCAAGTACACAGCTAGGACCTGACCTTGCTCACATTTGTGCCTACCCACTTAGTTCAGACAAACTGTTGAGAGACTGACATGGCTTCCGACTTTGCCGCTTGGCCAGTCTCTAACAAAGGTAGTCCTCCCCATCCTGGGCCCTGGAACTGGTAATGAGATCCTCTTGTCCAGATTGACCTTGTGTGATCTGGAGCCAGTGGCCACAGCCACACAGTGTAAGTCATCCCTGAGTCCAGAAGCCTGTGGGATAGTAACAAGTATTAAAGTGTGTACCAGGTGTTTTGTGTACAAAGGCAGTGGGCTGGTCTTTCATCTATGGCTTTCCATTTACTTCACAAACATTCAGTTAAGACCCCAGTGGGTTCAGATCCCTGGCTAGGGCCCCAAGGGAATCCACCTTGCTCTCTAGGTGGAGAGGTGGGTCCAGGGGCTCAGAGAGCTACCTTACTCATTGGGCAGGAGGAGGCTGAAGGCTTTCTGGAGGAGGTGGCAGGACTTCAGGCAAAGGAGGCTGACCTCCAAGGGCACAAGTTTAGGAACCAAGACCGCAGGAGTGCGGCTACATTTGCGGGATTAGGGCTGCGTCGCTGGTTCATCCAACTTCATCTTATCCAAGCACATTTCCTGCAATTCAGACTGAAGTTCACATTTGCAAAATGTCTGGTATAGAGCAAGAGGTAGCCCCTGGGCTCAGGACAAGATGTCCACCTTTCCATCTACAAGCCCAGGAGAATACAGTTCTTACAAACCTGCCAATTTGCTCCAGGTTTGCAGCATTTGAGACATTCCCTTGCCCAGCATCCTTGTACTTCAAGTTTGTTTCTTTCTCCATATAAATATTTCTAGTACCTCCATGTGCCAAGCAATTACCATCATCTGCAGCTCCCCGTTTGGGTCTGGTTAGTCTGTTCTCCATATGCTCGAGTAATTTATACTGTGCAAAACTGCAAGTCTCCTATAGCTGCCCCTAGATCGCAGTTGAATGCGGGCGCAGGGTGGCCCCCACTGACCACTGCAGATGGTGGTGAGCGGTGGGGGGCAGTAATCGCTGCGTGTGGTGGCTGTGATGGAACGTTCTGTGTGTCCGTGACGGGAGTCCTGCCCGACCCTTGGTGCCCGCTCGGAGCTGCGCCTTGCTTGGTACACCCCTGCCCTTCACCCCCCTCCGACACTCTACTCGCGGTCGCATCCCCACCAGGCAGCCCCCTGCCCCTCCGCCCCGCAGCCGGGCACCCCTGCGGATCACACCCCGGAGTGGGGCGCGCCCGGAGGAGCCGGCGCCGCCAGGCTGGAGGGACCCGCGGCGCCGCCCACGCGCCCCGCGCGGCTGCAGGCCCGAGGCTCCCGAGGGGAGGGCGCCGGGGGGCCGCGGGGACCTCGCCGCGGGGGCTCGCGAAGCCGCGGCGCGCGGGCGTCCCCCCCCCCCCCCGGGAACGCCCCGCCCGCCCCGGGGAGCCGGAAAGCGGCTGGTTGGGGCCGAGGCCCCAGGCACCCGCGGCGCCGAGGGCGGGGGGCGCGGGCGGGAGGCGGCGGGAAGGCCGAGGAAGTGACGACTGGCAGGGCGCCATCTCACGCAAGGGGCGGAGGAGGAGCCGGAGCTGCGAGCGGGCCGGGGCCGCCGGAGGCTGGGAGGGATGGGAGGGAGTGCCCAGGCGGACAGGGACTACCTGGGCCGCGGCGCCGGTTTGGGCGCACCCGCCGTCTGCACCAGGCCCGGGGGGCTTCGTTATCCAGAACATTCGTGGCTCCTAGGTGCTCGCCTTTCTGAACCACCCGCAGCTGTCAGCCGTGGCCATGACTCGTGATGAAGACAGCTCTGGTACCTGATGAGTTTGGAGGTGAGGGAGCCCAGGTGTGCCAGCACCGTGCAAGTTCAAGTTACACGTTCGGAACAACTCTTACTTTTGGAACAAGGTGCTCACGAACGAGTATGAGTGCACGTCTTCAGGCCCGGTGGTGTCGGTTGCAACTTGCATCCGATGGCACAGGGGCCAGGAACCCCCTGTTCTGATACCCTGGGACACTTCTCAGCTTCTTCACCTGGTTCTCACAGCACAGTGTCCCAGAGGCTGACGAGGTTGCCCAGATTATTAGAGGATCTGTGCCCCAGCCCCGTGCAGTACTATGTGCTGGGGGATAGGCCCCACAGAGCCGGAGAGGTCCTCCTAGCCTCTACAGGTTCCAGTCTGGCTAAGTCCCTTGCTGGGACCTGGCCCCTACATAAAACTCCCTTCCACCTGTGCCTAGGCTAATGACATAAATCTGCTGTCTGCTTGGTTTTCATGCACTCTGGCCCCTCTGAATATTCAGGGAACTCTGCTCCAAAGTTGTGGCCTCCGTGGCCATGCTCTTCTGTTTCCATGTGGCCTTCATGCATCACATAGCTGTCACATGCCACGTGTCTTTCCAAGCACCCAATGCTATGGATATGTACTGCCATCATCTTCGTGGTCCAGGCCTACCTCCGATCATGGCCTTCTCACTAATTTTTTTAAAGTAAGCTCTGCACCTGTTGTGGGGCTTTAACTCAAGACTCTTGAGATCAAGAGCCAGCCAGGTACCTCTCCTCACCCATTTTTGACATGGGTACCCACAAATCATTGCTAGGAGGACTAGTGCTTTTTTCAGCCTGCTACTTCAAGGCCACAACATGTTTGGCTTCGTATTTATGCATCCAGAATATTAGCTGTGGCAGTCTCATCACCCAAGAAGCAGTGGACACATTTGGTGCTGGCTATCAGCCAGCCTTGGACACTCCATCCTCAGGGCCTCAGGACTGCAGGACCACAGACCAGGCTACCCCAGGCTACTGGCTCCTGGGCATCTGGTAGAATGGTCACACAACCATAGACAACTGCTGGGCATGGGTGAGGTCAAGGGCATGAAGCAGTGGGCAAGGCATTCTTTGTAATCACGCTGCTCTTCTTACCCCTGTGTTGGTACTACCTCAGAGCCTGCCATCTGCTTGTCAAGATCTGTGGTACCATGCCAGTGTCTAGCCATCACCTTTTCTGAGTTGTGCACAGGCTGCCACCAACACTATTGCCTGCTCCCAGGTCTGTCAGGAACCACCTGCAAGGCACAAGAAAGTCCCCAACTCCCTAGGAACTCTGGCACACTGGCATATCTGGGCATGTGCTCTGGGCAGGGGCAATGATGGGGGTCCCTCCCAGGAGCCTACCTTCCTGAGCCTCAGTCACTGGGCTCACACACAATCCAGCCCCCCACCCCACCCCCAGTCTCTGTTTTCAGGCTTCCAGGCTGCAGGTACAGGAGGGGTGTTTCGAGTCATGGGGCCTGTCTACACCTGCCCAGATCTCATATCTTTCTTTTCATTTGCTTTAAGGTGACAGCTCGGAATCAAAACAACTGAAGAAGCAAAGTTTTTAAAAACAGCTAAGGAGACCATCTTTCTTATTGAATTTGCCACTCTTCGACAGCCTCTAGAGAGGGAGGGTTGAGCTGTAGACTGCTGCTGGCTGGGTCTTTGCAGGTCTTTCTCAAGCTCTGCGCCCTTCAGCAAGGCCCTCCCCAGGGGTGGGGCTTGTTCATTGTTTTGTTCTGTGCCATGCTGTGTTCTTTCAAACTAATTCTAATCCCAGTCTACTTTCTTCTCCTTCCACCAGAGACCCAACCCCTCACTGTGGGGTTGTGTAGGTAAGAGTTAGCTGCCTCCCCAAGTCCCCCTTCCCATGGAAGGCCTTGTCTTCTGCTTCTGAGGACTTGGGGAGCCCTTGAACAAAACGTGGTGGATGCTCTCCACAGAGGAATGCACTGGAAGCCAAAGGCAGCTGGGAAGGCTCTGGTGGCTGAGAGTATAGGGAGCAGAGCCCCCTGATCCTTCTGAACTTTTCTGATTCACCAAAAACTTTTTTAAAAATATTTTATTTATTTATTCATGACAGACAGAAGGGCAGGGGGGTGGGCAGAGACACAGGCAGAGGGAGAAGCAGGCTCCATGCAGGGAGCCTGAGGTGGGACTCAATCCTGGGTCTTCAGGATCAGGCCCCCGGCTGAAGGCAGCGCTAAACCACTGAGCCACCCGGGCTGCACACCAAAAATGTTTTTTAAATCAGAAGACTTACTAATGGGACACTGAAACTCTGGAGGCTTCCTTGGTCCAGGTGTGACCTGTGAATGCGGAAAATGGATGCCATTTTTCATTTCACTGCTTTTAATAAGATCCGATGTATCTTCTTCCTCATTTCCCCCCTGTGGAGAAACTGAGCTGTCCAGGCCTGCCTACTGCTTTTAGTTGAGAACATTCACAAGTACATGTAATTGCTCCATTTGGAGAGCCACGCCAT